TTTAAGCCTAAATGACTTTCAATAGGATTAAGTAACCTTGATGTGGCCTTCAAAGTGGCTAATTGTGCCCCTCAAAGTGGCTAATTTAACCTTCAGCATGGTTTCATATTTCCTTCCAGTGAGGCATTATGCAATTGATGACAATTAGTTGCTATACGTAATGGCATGTCATCTCACATACACGTATGGAAGTATTGCAATTATTGAAATCTGAAATACTTACATAACATTGTTCACAACTATTATTGGTAAGTTATTCTAAATTTTTAAGTGGTAAGTACATACTGACCAACAGAATTTTTTTCTAAATTATGCATGGTAGAATTACCATTACCATCCTTACCATTTGACCAAGGGAGGTTATGATAATATCACTGTACAATTTAGTATTCATTTGAAATACTCCTGAGACTTATTTAACAAAATAAATACATGCTGACAATTTTGGGGATTTATATAATTCTGCCTCTATAAGACATCCACTTGATGTTTGAAACCAATTCATATTGAACTTCAAAAATACTTGTTTACATTTTTAGGATTTATATAATTTTTCCTGAATAGGCATTCATTCAATGCTTCAAAACAATTTTTATTGAACTTCAAAACAACTTATGTAAGCTACGGTTGTGTGCCACCCTGGCGGATCACGAGCCAATTTGGCCTCCAAAGATTATGTGTTTGTTTTACTGATTGCTCTGGTGTGTTGGTTTTTGGAATTATGTGATCCATGGCAAAGATGAAAGCCATATAGCATTATAACAGCTATTGTAACCTGTTATTCAGATTATTGGATTATAAGATAGCCATTTGACCATATGTAGGCGATATTACAAAGAAGGAAGTTCTATTAGCTTAATTATTGAATTAATTACCAAGAAAGGGACAGTCCAATTTGATACGTCATTGTCATAGTATTGCAGGTGGATCTTGAACTTCAACTGGCAAAACCTCGTGGCATTGCAACATATCAACCTTCCAATTTTAAAGTTCAAGTTCGTCATTGGTTGACTCTATTGACTATTCGACAATAAGGGTGGTTGGGGGGCTATTCAAACATTAAACCTCAATCACATTGGTAACTCAAACACAACCTGACAGCAATGAACGTGAACAGGAAGCTCAAATGAGATTAAAAGTACATTTTGGAGAAAGTACAAAGAACATAAGGAATGAAAAGAGATAATACTTGAACAATAATTATCATAAATTGATAACATCGAAACAATGGTGGTAAATCAAAGCCTCTCAATGAGTTTAACGACTGGAAGACGTAAGGTATGATAATTGTAAAATATGTTAATTTATTTAATTTATCCTAACTGTTCTTCACAATATGTCAGTGTATCGTAAAATAATTTACAATAGTGAAATCATATATAGAACAAATTCAATTTCATTTTTGTAGTTTAGTAGTTTTAATTGCTCAATTAACATCTGAGGCAATTATAAACATTGAAATATGATTTGTGCACCATCAATTACTGACTGACAACAGGTTTTTGCTAGCAGGTAATTAAAATTTTGAATATAATTCAAGTGGACTATAGCTTAGATATTGACATCTCAGTATTTTAACCGGCGAAATTCCACAGTCGTGTAGACTTAACAGATATACATGACTCAATATGTTAAAAATCATACTCAAGTAAATAGTAGAATGGTTTAGCTATGTGCTTTGATGTTAGAACTGTCAAGTTTTTTGAGAGTTTAAGTTTAAGTATCGGTACAAGCAGGCACTGATCAATGTAAAATCAACAACAATTAGTTAAAAAGCAACTTTGAGAATATAACACCTGTGTATGTGTCGAAGTTGATTATTCACAAAGTTCAATAGAAGTTGCTTACTTTCACAAGTTAATAAAAAGGATATATACTTCATGGATTTCTTTTTTATGGATTATTGAAAGAAAATCTTGAATAAATGGCGGTATCCGTGCTACCACTGAAACTAGAGCAGCCCACGAATATGGGCAAGTCAAGAAAAATGGTGAGTTGAATGGGAAAAGGGTTTAAGATCAAGGTACCAAGTGCATCTTTTATAATCCTTATTCTATTGTGAAAAGAACCTTACATGTACAAGTGTGTGGGGGCTCTTGACAAATAAGTCAAAATGCCTTTTAAAACATTGTAAAAGTGCTGTTTCCTGTTTTATAAGAATAACATAATCGGTTCATACAAAATCATTTCAAAGTACTCATGTAAACTAACTTTTTTACTCTATTGGCTATTAAGAAACCAAACTGCACCTGATATAGCCTATACACATTTGAATTAGCTTTTATTTTCTTACACCAAGATAAAAAAAATAGGTGTAAATATTTATAAATTGATTTTGAGCTTATAGAGCCTTATTTGTATGAATAATTGGTATATTTGGAATCAAGAAAAGCTTCATGGTGGAAAACGCCTTGGGTCACGTAAAACATGACGTAGAATATTACTACATTTCAATATAACATTCTGAAATTAGCCAAAATTGCAGTTAATTGGCAAGTTTGTATGAATTGAAATCTGACATTTTGCCATGATTATTTACACGGAAAATTGATATGAATGCTTTAGGAGTAAAATATGGACTAGGAGTCACTTTAACGTCATATGTTATGTTGATTTAAGGTAAGTCATCGATTGATTGTGCAAAGATATGTTTACCTTTTCGTATCAGTTGTGTCATATTAATATCTTATTAATTTACTATAAATATTTCTGTGATAGCATAGAACCTGTGGTACTCGAAGCACTGTATTTTCAGTGACAGATATAGGTTTATTTGACATAGACATTTTTTCTTAAATGTTGATATTCCTTATAAGAATTTCATTGAAAATCAATCAAAATATTAATTTTAAGTAGAACTTTGAATTTAAGAATTTAAAGGAGATCTTTCTTGGGCTTGAAGAATGGGAGTTTTCACTTAAGTAATATCAATACTAAATACCTCTAACACTTTCTCAATTGACCATTTATCATTCTCGAAGGACCTGTCATTGAACTCATGTATGATATTGTGTATATTGACCAGTCAAGATAAGTTTAAATGTATATAAGTTGGACTTTAATATATTTGAAGATTGGGCGGAAATTAGTGTACTGTGTAAGAGTTTAACATTGGACTTTCCTGCCTTATATTTGCATAGCAGATCAAGTCTAGTGTTAACACTAGTTTTGTCTTTAAGAGTGATATATCCGGGGCAATTCAGTAACACATTGGATCACCTGACTGCAGTAGAGGTGTTTTGTCCTTACCATTTCCTTGATAGGAAAAACATACATCAGAAAATTAAAGAAATTAGTACTCTTTGTTATCATCATTGTATCCTTCATATAGCTTCCTGCCCTTTCTTATATCAGTAATTGATAATTTATTATGCATAATCATGTAGGATCTTAGAGCTGGGAAATGAACATGTGCCAATTTTACTTCTCATGATGTACATAATGTTAATTTTATACATCGAGTTGTTGCAAAATAACTTGTTCTTTTCTCTGAAACACAAGATACATTTTCATTCACAGTTTACCATTAACTTGTCAGATGAGAAAATTTGAAAGGCAAATAATTACTTTCCTATATAAAGAATTTAAGTTGTCACAATTCAAGATACATTTCCATTCAAATTTAAACAATATTATAACGATTTATTATTTTTTATAAAATAAATAAAGGATAACAATGCTATGATTGAAAGAGACTCTCTGTGGAGTTAAGACCAGTTCGGCTTACCCTCGGGTGCTTTCCCAGAAACTTACAGACTACTTACTATGCTCTGATCAGAATAGAAAGTTTTACAGTATTGACTCTTAAAAAGGGTGGCTTCAGCATTATCCTTATATGGTGTTACCCTTATTTGGAGGTGGGGGAGGGGGTTATCAGCATCTAACCCTGAACAAGTGTTTTATGATTTGAAATCAGCTCTAACATTGTAAAACTTGGTGATGGTCAATTATTTAGAGTGGTCAGAGAATTATCATGTGATAACGAACATCATATATGTAGGAATGTCATACAGAGTCGCCATAGATAAAAGGCGGACCAATAATAATAAGATAATAAGATTAGGAGTCATGATACAGAGAGTTGAAGTATGTTGTATGTTTGTCAATGTTATATATATAACCCAGTCATTGTGGATATACATGTTGTTGATAAGCATTGGGGTGGTTTTACAATAGGGATTAGACAGTATTTCGCAGAGATTTTTGAGAATGGTCAAGAAACTATGTATTTAAATGTGTAGGTGGATATACGTGTTACATACTATGGTAGACAGAGAAAACACTTGGAGACTAGGAACATATTATGGTAGACAGGGACATAGTATGGTAGACAGGAAACACAATATGGTAGACAGAATATACTGCAGTAGATAAAAACATCTATCCTTCTTTAGAAGCATAAACAATGACATTTTATGTACATACGAGGCCTGAGGCCCGCATGGCTAGGAGCAAGAGTATAGACAATCTCTCCATGCTTGGCCATCTAGCTGAACCTGGGGGTGGCTCCTTTAGGAAGACTAAAACAATACGCAGGGGCAGCTCTGTTGTATATAAGAAACCCCATATAAATGTCTTGACAGATGTTTCCCTTAGTCTTACAGAGACAGGATATGTAAATGTAAGTGCCTGGTATGAGGACCCATTTGGAAACTGAGGTGGTTTTAGGGAGTGAATGTATAGGGGAATGTGATTGGTTAAAACCGAATGATGTCATGTAATGGCTGCATCTTTAATGAGACGTAAAGCATGTTCACATTTGATTTAACATTTTGTGCCAATGTTAGGTCAAGATGTTAGTACTGAGTGAATCAAGTGCATCAGATTAATCGATGTTTAGTTTTCATCTTTGATCTTGCTCTAACTGTACCCTACAACAGCTTAAGTTTCATATTTGCATTTAATTTTCTGATTTCCAAACAATTTGTTAACAATACATAAAGTATGTTTATATACTTCCCATGCACAAATTACTTACGTGTTGTGTTCTGTATTTACAGAGTATTGGTCGGAAGAAAGGGGCATTGGTCCTTGAAGACATGACAAACACAGAGATTTCCAGTAGCCCTCACGGCACGCTCACTGGTGCTGACCTCAAACAGCTCAACAGACCAAGATCACAGAGCAAATTCATGACATCGCTATTCAGTCCTTTTGTAAAGGTAAAGTTGCTTTTAAACTATCTTCATTTGACAATTCAACGAAAGAGGCAGAATGGAACTGATAAAGATAACAGGACCACAATGGATAGCTTTTTGCCCAAACTCACTACATGTTTCCTATGATTTGATGGGGTTAGCATTGTTTTTTTCAGTTGTTGCCCTTTGTTCATTTTCACTACATAAAAGTGCACACTCATTATTGAAGTACTTTAAATTTGAATTCAGTTGCAAAATCAAGTCATAATTGTCAACTAACTTTCTAGAATGTCCAGTTGTCACATTGAACAGTGAGTGCCATTTGGTTAATGATTGAACTTGGTAGAGACTATTTATATTAATCTTATATTACTCCCCTGTGTATATATAAAGATACTCCATAGGATCTGATACCAGTAGATAAATCACATACAAGGTTAAACATATATACTCTTGGTTTATTGAAGCATTTTGTGACAATACTTTCAAGACTTTTACAGTTTTGGGCCTATCGATCTTGATTAAATGTCAAAAAGTAGAGTATTTATATTGACATTTAATGGTCACTAACATTAATATTAACAATTAAAGACAAAGGAGACTCCTAGATTGGTACCTGGGAAATTTATTCACAATATAGATGATTAATAGCTTTGAACAATGGTTGGCATAGAATTCTATAGTTATATTGCTTCAATCAATTTTTCCTTGATTGTCCAAAATGTCCCCAATATCCCGTTACCTAGATAAATGTTCTAAAAGTGTCACTTGTTTATTCCATATTTAAAGTATTAAGTAGTGATAATAAAACGGTATACAAATATACAAAGTCTCATAAAACAATAAAAATCCATCCTCTTAGTAGATCAAGTGTCAAATAAAAACAATTCAATAACTCCTTTCATCATCGTTTCACTGTAGGGGGCTAAATACTGTTTAATTAATGAATATAAATATTTACTAACATTTATGCTTTGTGTACCTTAGTAGAAACCCTGGGCTATTGTTATGTATTGGTTTTGATTTTTACGATATGTTTTAAAATTACATGTAAATTGCATAACATCATTTGACCATTGTTAAAGTGTCCTTGTTAAAGTGTCTCATTTATCACTCTTATTTCACAGTCTTTCTATAATTTCAATGATTGTATTATTTTCTTGTTTTGGAAATTTACTACTTGATTGTTGTTTTGTTCTTTGCAGAATCCCCTCTTTTCAACTTTATATTAATACATGGCCTTGGTGTTATTATATTTAGCTCCTATATTGGTGATACTGATGCATTAAAATTTGATACTACATGTTTCATAATACCACATCCTAATCATGTCATTCTGATTCTCCAAGTATCTCCTTTCTTACAACTTATTATTTCACCACCATATTGTCACCATATTGTCTCCAACTATTTTTGAGTTTGGTATTCGGCATCCAGTGGTCAGCGATTAAAGTTTGGTGACTGTAACAAATGGCAGGTTTGCTTGTTAATGCCTCGTATACAGTTGTATTCAACTATAACGTGATGAAATAAAACAGATTATAAAAAGCTTCCTTGGTATACAAGGTGCTCTTTAGAGTACTTCATTAAACCTTATACAAACTACCAGTAATCCTTACTTACTTACATGATAATTCATATAAACTTATTGCTGACTTTTATAATTGTTTTGTTTTGATGTTATTTGTTGTACATTACCCCCATAAATGTGGGGTTATTTTGAGTTTTTTTTATATTTAGGACATTTGTTTCTCAAAATAACCCCACAAAGTTTAGGCTTTGATTCTTTGCGGTTTTTTTCACATGATTTGAAGATTCAAGTTCTGACAATATCGGCAGTTTCCTTACCTTTTTTCTTCTCTTCTGTGAAGAGGATTCTTTTTCCAATGTAATGAGCGATCGATCAGTGGAAACAATACTTTATAACTGGAACAATTTGCTGTAATATTTGACTCTCGAAATCTATTCAAATTTTGGCCATTTTCGCGCGTTGCATTCTGGGAGGAATTATGTGGTAGATGGGAAACTTAACAGTGCCAAACGAAATCACCTGTCAAATTAATAACAAAATTATTGCTTATGCCTAAGTTCAGGAAAACAAAGGCCGTAGACGATACAGCAGCCAGACTTGAGGTTGAAAATCCTTTTAATACACCCCGGAAGGTGAAAATCATTTTTCAAAATTTCCCTCCATTTTTACTTTTGGATTTCGTATTTACACGAAGTTTGTCATTTAGATAAAAAATATCGACTGCTCATGAAATTTGAAAAACTTTTTTAGAAATATCTGTTATCCGTATTAAATCTTCATTACAAGAATGAATACAACACTTAGAGGGCTATATTTGGAAGCATGTTGAAGATTAATGTCTTGTCGATACGAAAAACATAAAAAAGTGAGTAAATTCTAATAATATTAGTACAAATTCTATGTGTATGCTATTGTTTAGCAAATCCCCAAAGAATCAAAGTACTAATCGGTGTGGGGTTATTTTGAGAAACAAATGTCCTAAATATCAAAAAACCTCAAAATTAATAACAAAAATACGAAACAACTTTCATATTGAATTGATGGATGATGAAATTCATGACATCATCATGATGAAATTCATGACATCATCATGATGAAATTCATGACATCACAACTTTCATATTGAATTGATGGATGATGGAATTCATGACATCATTATGATGAAATTCATGACATCACAACTTTCATATTGAATTGATGGATGATGAAAGAAATTGCTCTCCAGTTCCAATGGGAGTAGAACCTGCTACCTTTAGATAATTCATTACTTGCTAATGAGGAAATCAAAACAGATTGTAGTTATCGAATAAAGGTCAACCATCCGTTAACAGATAGCCTACTAGAAGATCCAAACAGCAGTAAACAAACGTAGCCTGCCAACATAAAAATTGCAAACCCCTACAAACAATATCAACCCATATAATAAAAAAAATCATAAAACAATACAGTACTATGACAGTAGAAACCCAGAAAATGAAATAATATTTTCATGTATTTTCAGGACAAAGAAAAACAAGAGGCCCTTGCAGATTACCTAAATGGGTATAGTAGCCATGGGTTTCCTGAGATGCCCGCATTGTTGACCATGGGAAAACCAATGTTTGATGCCAGCCTCCTTGATATAGAGGAGCACTGGTCACAAGTGGTGGATGACAATGAGGTAGGGATCTTATTTAAGGTGAAAGGTTAATGTCACATACCCTGGGCATTTGCCTCTCCCCTTTCTTGCCTCGAGCAAGTAACACATTTCTTCCAAAAATTCAAGAGAGCACAATTCAGCGACTGATATACAGCATTAGTTTGGTAGATCAGAGTGGAGAATGTTTACATGGAAGGATAACTTTTAAATCTGTTTAATATTATAAACTTCACATTGGTATACATGATTCTTAAAGTCTATGTGTGCATACTAATGAATGTAGCAGCTGCCAATGTTATCGTCATCTTGTGAATATTTTCTAAAGTTTATTTTATCTGTGTAGTGTGTAGGCAAAATTTACCCATAATTGATTCAGGTAAGTAAAATCGATAGTCCACATATCGTTATTGTTAGGCCATGGTAACAGCTGTGAAATATCACATTCCAATTTGAAAAAACAACATGTTATTGTTGTTCAACTGTTATGATATTATAGAAGACGTCATATGGCATCATATATTGAACTGTATTGTTATACAGATTAGTCTTTTCTTTTACTGATATCATTTAAAAACCATTACAAATCATCCTCCATTATTCTATAAGTGCAGTATATTCCTTTCACTGAAGAATATCTTTATCGTTAAGGAATCATAATACATTCTGAATTGGTGGATACTGTTCCATACTTTTCTTTCATTTTGTGTGGAATTGTTTGAAACATCCTTTCTTTGCTGCTTCATTATTCCTTTGTTGTAGAGTCTGAGTTGTTTATAACTGTTGTTATAGTCTCCAATTTTTTGTGGATAGTGTTCAGCATTCGGTGGTCAGCATTCGGCATCTGTAACAAATGGAAGGTGGTGACATTTTGCATGTTAATGCCTTGTTATTACTATGTTGAAGAGTCTAAGCAACTAGGTGTGGTTCACATACACATGAATTCGTTATTCTTATGTTGTAGGGTCTGAGCAAGAAGGAGAAGGACCAGCAAGAGGCCCTTTGGGAACTTCTTCACACAGAGACAGAGTACATCAAGAAGGTGCAGGTCATCGCTGATCTCTTCCTCTGCTGTCTCTTGGACCTACAGAACCAGTCAGTCCTCAATGAGGTATTTACACTTAGTTTCTATTTTGTGACCTCTTAAAGTGCTAACTGTTACGTTTGAATCTTTTCATTTAGAAATGCATTGGATTTTATATATCAAGTCAAGTCATCATGTGTTGAAACTGGACAATATAAGGCAAATTATAAAGAAATAAAAACAACTTTTTAGCAAAGATCAGTTTAGGGAAGAGAGACTTTTTTAGAAACAGTGATTGGTTTTTAAAGCAATTCCACATTCTTCCATCATCTTATTTTAAATGATTAGCAATTTCAATGTCCCCAAGACAGGCCTATTTCTTAATAAGCATGCTGCTATGTCAGTATCCATTTATGGTTTCACAACTCTTGCAGATTGAGACTGAAAAACTGTTCAACAATATCAGTGATGTAGTAACAGCTAATTGCCTATTCTGGGAGAGTTATATATTCAAGATGTTGCAAGAGGCAAGGTCATCTAGGACACCACTCAAGCCAACAATGCTGAAGGAAGCTTTTGAAAAGGTAAAGATTTGTTCAGACGAGGCTGTTGCTTATACGAGGGTAATCAAAAATATATGATATCAAAAGAATGAAAAACAGACTTTTTGTACAACCCTCGTATGGTATAGTTTATCGGGCTAATGGAAGGGAAGAATTTAGCATAAACACTGTTTCAATTTTATGCTTAGCTTAGCTTCATTTTTGTTTTAAGTGCTGGTATTGATTTGTGTTATTCAGGCACATTTCCTGTTTTTGATCTTGAGACATTATCATGGAGCAAGAAATGTGTCAGCGATAGAGGATGTTAGCCAGTTTGGGATCAGTGAACTTTGGTGCTAACTGATTTATCACAATTCTTATTTGTATTGCTATTTAAATAAAACATCAGATTTGAGAACGACTTGGGTTGATACAAATTACACGTATGATACATACGTTAAATTGTTTGCGGAACAATTTGTAACCCTTCAGTGTGAACAATACAACTCATTAGGTTATTGGGTTATCTTGATTCTTAATCTGTCTACAAGCCCTGTACAACCCCAGTGAAAACCATCACTTCAGTCCACTTGATTTAATTACTTCTTAGAATCCAGGATCGGCAGCTGGTTTAATGGTCTTTTAGTGATTTGATTAAAAAAAGAATTGTAAATTGTTGAGTTATTATTGCATTTTGTGCAATTTTCAATATCTCAAGCGATTTCAAAGAAGTCTAGGCTTAATAAGGCTTTCAAAGACATTTAAGACCACTTTCCAGGATTTAGAACTTTATTCTTATAACATCTATTGCCTTTTTGGATTGGTATGGTTGGAATTTGTTTGATACTCTTATCTCTACACTTAAATATCAATAGATTCAACATTTTCTGTGTAACAGGAACGCCTTAGACCAAATATGTAATATCAAGTTTGGAAAAACTATATAATCTGGTTTATGCTAGGAACTACTGTCTATGTACAGTGCTTCGTGTATTATTTTTCTAAGCATAAGTATAATCTGAATCTTGTGATGTCTTTTTTGCTTCCAGTTTGAAGAGCTCTTCCATCCATACACCAAGTACTGCTTAGATCAGCAGAGTTGTGTTGAGTATATGAAGTCAAGATATTCAGAGAATGATGTCTTTAAAACTTTTGTAATGGTGAGTACTTATCAATATGAAAAATAAAACAATTTCCAAGTATCACTTAATATCTTGTGAAATCATATTCTACTAATACATTATGTAATTATTTCGACTGCAGCCATACATTAGACCATAGAAACATATAAACAAAGTAAAAATATACTTTACATTAAAAACATATTACTGGGCGAGTGCATAGATGTAATTTTACTATAAATAACTCATAAAATTGTGCTTGCGTTTTAGTGGGCAGAGAGCCAATCTCAGTGCAATAGACTAAAGCTGACAGACTTACTAGTGATGCCCATGCAACGTCTCACCAAATATAGCCTATTACTTAATGCAATACTAAAGAAAACTGATGACAAAGAAGATCAGGATGATTTGATAGATATGGTAAGTGAAATGATAGAATGTAGCACCACAAATGCTAACTGGGGAAAGACTGGAGATTATAGCCTACAGTGTTCTATTGCACAGAAAGACAACCATCTAAGACAACACGTCTTAAAACAATCCCCAAATGCCCAAAATATGACACCTGTCCTTCTTCCCTCACCATTCAGAAACACAAGTGAAAATATTGATCTGAAAAAGGACCAAAGGGAATACCATGAATTATTTTTATGTAACAAAAACATTCATGTCATGTTACTTATGGTATAAGAAGCAAGGTCTGGATAAGTGTGTGTCACTAGATAAAACCATGGTAACAAGACATATCAAACAATATTTCATTATCTACTATTATTACAAAATATTAAAGGTTATTCTGGGACCTGTTTATCAACCTAAATATTGATTTCATGAAGTTAGAGTATCTAGGTTTCATATGACTCACTAATGCATTCGTTATAATCAATTTCCTGTTTACCAGAATATAGTATTCACTGTGCTTAGGTTGATAATTTTCTTTTGTTGCATGTATCCTCATCCTCATCTCCACCTCTTTATTACACTAGATCCTAAAGAAAATCAAGAATGGTAGTATTTTTTTAAATTCCAGATTGAGAATGTCAATACGTTTGTGTCTCATGTTAACCTCACAATACGTCATGTGCAGGAACAGGAACGTCTTGCTGCCCTTATTAGTCGAATTGAGAGCTATGAAGCCGTTGATCTAAATAGTGAAGAATGTGTCAAGGTAAATAAATAAATAAAATCAGATTTGAAATTTCAGGAGCCAAAACTATTCAGAATAAAAGTACATGTACACTAAGTTCAACTATTTACACTACCATTTTGGGAAATATTGTTACTGCAATCAGTTGTTAATTGCCTACATAAAAACTAATGTTATTGTTAACCCTTGATTAATTGATATCCTTATTTTTCAGTTAATTGGTGAATACACAAAGTTAGACCTAACCTGCCCTTTACCTGGCTGTAGCCCAGAGCTTAAGCGGAACCTCCTTATAGAAGGACCTCTCAAATTAAAAGATGCTTACAGTCGCAACGATGTCTATTGTTTCCTCTTCACAGACATGTTTTTAATCACAAAGCCAGTTAGTAGGAAGACAAACTTAAGTTCTAGTAAAGTGCGTGTTATTAAAGCACCAATGAGACTGGACAGGATTGCAATCAGAGAGCTGAGAGATGGAGGTAGGATATAATATTTGTATAATATTTGACCTTGAATGCATTAAAGACCTTTCGCTATACGAATGAGGACTCAGTCACAATAGAAAAGCCCTGTTAATCTCTCAAACTGCATGTAATACTTGGCATTGTATAGATTCATTTGACAAAAATATTAATGTGCAGGATATAAAAAGAACCAAGACTAATTATCGGGCAAGATGGAATAATCATTAGAAGCATTACAGAAAACCATACCTATATGTGAACTTGAATTCTGCACTATGATTTCCTTATATAGAATAGCTTTGTAAATTAATATGTTGTTCTTTTTCCAGTGAGTTTCCTATTGGTCTACCTCAGTGACTATGACGTAGCAGAGAAAGCTTATACATTCCATGGAGAGCCCGTCAAACTCTGGATTGACCATATAAGGAAAGCTCAGGAGAGTTACAAAGAAGCGCGTAAAGCAATGACTACGAGGGCCTCCAAACTCTCCTATCTACAAATTGAGAGTGATGCAATAAATGGGGATTACCCAAGCTCAGCCATTCTTGATAATACACATAAGGCGGTCTCCCGCCAGGAAAGTGACAGTTCAGATAAGTTCTTACCAAACATTGCATCTAGGTCATCTAGTACTGACTTGGTAGAGGATGCCGAAAATACGGAAAATCTGGAAGTTATTGTAGAGGAAATGAGACCTAGGTCCGCAACATTCTCCGCAGCCCATCATGTGAATGATACAGACGCTATATCAAGGAATAAGTCCTGTCCAGACCATGCTCTTATTAACTCTATTAATGGTTCCCCTAGTGAGTCCCCAAGGACCTCACCCAGGGACAATTCCCCTAGGGTAGCAACATCCCCCGTACAGCCCACAGATACCACTCAGGAGGGTGGTGTTGTGAAGCCTGTGCCCACAATCATTGCTCAACAGGCTATAACACGCACAGACTCGCAATCTAGTAATGAATCTAGTGGCACCTCTCCTGATTACCCACCCCCTGCATATAACACAGTAACTCATAATAACATGGACTTTGTCTCTGAGGATATTAGAAGTAAACTGAATCAACGAAGATCATCCAGGGGAGAAAAACGTTATCATACAGCAGATGCAATACAAGATATGAACAAAAAAGATCGCGATGCAAGCATTCATAAACGCCTGTCTTGGAACTTTGGTAACACAGTAGACATTAACATTGAGGATGGTAATGGTAAACTAAAGGGCAAAGCCTACAGTTCAGAATCACTGCGCAGCGTACGAAGCTCCAGTGGAATAAGTTCAACAAGTTCACTCATCAACGAAGAAAATGAGGATGACTTTTTGCCAACTGATGACAACCATCATTATTTTGAAGATGGTGATATACTAAATGGTATCAAAACATCAAGAAGTGATAGTAATATCAACGAACATTTACATACAAACAGTGATAAACTGACAAGTCATAGTGCATCAGATCTACTGAGGAACACTAGCGCAAGTAGTCTAACAAATTCAACATCTGACTCATCGGAGACAAATACATCTTCTGAGACTTTAACCAACATTACAAGTACAGACACTAGTGTGACGCCTTCCAGGAGGAAGCTCACCCATGCTGAACTTATACGCATGAAAAAGCAATTGTTACTGAATGCGACTCTGGAGGCCTCTGATGTTTAGAGTATTGTGGCTTGTTGGGGGCAGTTTCTGGGGGATTATAGTGCTGTTTTACATGTGACATCCTACTTAATGATACCAACATTTTTCAATGAAGAATACAACTTAGTATTCAATGTCATGTTGTATAAATTGGCAGTTTAATTCATTGGATCCTACCCATGCTGTACCCATGTTATTGCTGTATAGAGCATCTACAGAATGCTCCATGGTTTTCAACTCCCTAACCCATCATTCTTCTCAAACTTACATTTTAGGGAAACGTTTTTATGGTATCTTTTTAGGTACTTTTGTATTGTAAAATAAAAGGGGAAGGAGTATTAGAACTGTGGAGCATTCTGTGGAGTTATTTATTAAAAACCTTGCTGTTAATTGTTGTCATTTATTTTGCACATATGCAAACCAGGCAATAATTTTCAGTTTGGTTGAATTAATATTAGAGAATCAATCAAATTTGTTATGGTATTTATAAGTTTAGATAACTGCAAAGTTATGAAATAGAGTGCATTTAAGTACTTATGATACATGTACAATATATAACATGTACAATATATGTTAATTAAAATGGTACTTTTACTTGATATTTCCACATGAAATTGATCATATTTGTTAGAATCTATGTATAGTAATGAACATTCCTGTAATATTTTTGACTATCATCTGATTTATTTTTCCAGTTATTTTATTACAACCAGTTTCTCTTTGCTTACTTTGAAGATACTTCAGTTTCAATAGAGCAATTCAAACATGTAAAATTAAGTTTAGTTCAAACGTTATTTCATGGTGATTCACTGGAATGCCAAGTAAAAAGAAAAAAGATGGTATCTGCTGAATTCTGTAGAGACTTGTGAAATCTTATGGTACTACAAACTTAAGCCAACCATGACATCTAAATTCAAATGTGTTCAAAATGTCCTCTCAATACAATCATGACTATTTGAAGAACCAAAATACATTTTAATTCAATTGATTTTTTGTTAATAGGTATTTAGCATTATTTGTCCTTGTACAGGCCTCAATAAAACAGGGCAATTGTATAGTAACATCTAACTAAATGCCACTACATTATTTCACTGCCAAAGGAACATGTGATAATGTGATTCATGTATTGTTTTGCTGAAAGTATTGGAAATGAAATACATTTTTTCTGAATACATTTTACAAGGTCCACATAGCTATACAAAAGATTGTACAAGAGATATTGCAATCATTTCATTTTACATCATTGATCAAAATTCATATCATCATCAGAAAAGCCATTATTTTATTCAATAATATTTAAGTATTAATTTCAAGTTAGAGAATTATTTGTTTGTAAAAAGCGGTGATACTTGTAAAAAGTAAAATTCAATGGTATACATGTAATCAGATCGTATGATCAAGTACTTTTTCCCCTGTTATAAAAACAGCAAATGATTTATATGAAATAAAAAATATTAAAAAATTTTTTTTGATTTTGTTTAAAATATACATATACTACCACATTTTCCAGAGCCAACAATCTTCTGCAAACACAGAATCTATTAGATATGTGACTTATTTAAAATACTGCCAAAACTCCATATTTTGTCTCATATTTAGAAGGGGTTGATATTTCAAAGTTTCATGTTATGACATATTTTGTAAAAAAACATTATAAATGTGGAGCATATATGTAATCCCACTTATGTTTTGGTCACATAGGCTCAGATTTTCACTACGGTGCCCGGCCGATGGGTATTTTGTTCAAAAACGACCGGCAAGCCCGGTGTAAAAGAAATTATGGTCCCCTGGGGATTATGGTTTCCTTTCCTTACGGCCCTTTGTGGCCCTGACTGTGTATAAATAATAAAGGAAAATAATTGTAATTAGGTCACCATATAAATCAATAGAGAGTAGGACCAACATTTCATAGGACCACCTACCCTTTTACACCGGGCATCGTATGGGCCCCGCCCGATGATCGAGCACCATCGACCGATTTTTAGACATCGCCCGGGCGCCGGCAGAGTTTTATCGCGGAGATAAAAGTTGCCGATGTGTTGGCGATTTTTTCTCAACCAAACTCATCGGTACCTACCCGGCCGTGTCCCGTACGGTCATCGCACGATTATCTTACGACTTCCAGTGGCATCGTAAGGTCATCTAGGGATTTTATTTAACTTTACACGCTGATTTGAACAACATATCGGTCGGCCGCCCTAGTGAAAATCTGGGCAAATGTGACCAAGGCATTAGTAAAAAAACAATTGAAAAGCTGAACAAAAGGCCGAATAGAACACCCATCCCTTACGCTCCCAATCCTCAATAACTTGCTAAATTGCATTAATTTCTTTTACTATAAGAACGATTGTTCTCTGACTCAATTAGATAAATGAATAAGTAATCGTGTGTAGATTGGAAAATACATTTAGTTTCCCTGGAAGCAGTTTTCCTATCACATACATATTAAATGTGTTTGAATTGGTTTTTAAACGCCGACTGAGATTTTCAGTATATAAATACAATAACGTTTTGTCCATGCGGTCCGACATGGTCGGCGCCAAATGATCACCGATTATGCATGTTGACAGCTCGGTGGCTGACAGCACTACTCATGAGGATATAGATACACACATCCGTAGATGAACGCACGTATAGGCAGACAGACGTATATACACAGGGTCCGTACCAAAGCGTTACAGTTGAACGAGCTTGGTACGGTACAATACGAAGGTGATGAAATTTAAGCAAACCGAAAGTTTTTTTGTGATGGCGGTTGGCCAAATTCTTACAACTTTCAATAACTTAACAAGTACTGTGTAGACTGACTTCAATCATCTACAAGTTCTCATAAGTTCAATTCTGACTAAAGATTTGAGATTTGACCTTCAATGACCTTCTTAAGGTAAAACAGATTTGACCTTCTCTTCAATGACCTTCTCAAGGTCAAAAAAGGTGAAGAGGTCTTTCTTCAACTTGCTTCAAATTGACCAATTGACCAAACGTTCAAATCTGACCAAAGATTCTAGTTTGACCTTCAATTACCTTCTCAAGGTTACAAAAAGTATTGATTCAACTTGCTTCAGATTGACCAATTTTTTTCATAATCATAGATACAAGTTCTCAGAATGTCAAATCTGACTTTAGATTTAAGATTTGAAAGGTCAAAAGGTTAAAAGGTCTTTTCTCAACTTTTCAAAATCATCTACAAGTTCTCAAAAGTTCAAATCTGATTTAAAATTTAAAAATCTAGAAACTAAACCACATCTTTCCGAAACGATGGAAAGACCTATTTGCTCACATTTCATCACCGTCCTGTTGTACCGTACTCCGCGCGTTCAACTGTCACGCTTAATTTGGTACACACCTTCAGTGGTTTCAGTAACTTTGTGTACAAGGGGCAGATGAAAAATACAAGAGGCGGCATTCAAAATAACCAATTTTACGCTCCCGACAATGCAAATTCTTGTTATTTTAGAGTCCATGGACTGAAAGAAAGATGTCCAAGGTTTGTCAAAGTCATTTCCACGTGTGATGTGGCAAGACATGGGCTTCACAAAATAACACCTGGAACTGTGGAATGACTAGGGCAACTTATAGAGAATGTAATTTACCTTTTATGAGATAACTTACCCTTACACAGGTTGCATTTCACAAATCCAAATGCACCTGTTGAATTGAACACTTTTGATATAAATCAAAATCTAGAATTGTCATTATTAAAATGAGAGTGATGTATTAATAGATGATTCACATGTGATTATGTGTATATCAGATTCATTTTAGTTTTTACTACCTCCAGACATTGCCAGAAGTGGTGACATACAGGGTGTTCCAAAAGTAACAGGACTGGTGCTGGTATTTTGTTAAATATGCACCATTTGTCTTCAAAATTTTACGTAATGTACACTCCCCTCCATAAGTTTGGCAACCTTTTTCCCCCATTGAACTACGTGTTAAAGCCTCTTTACGTTTGAATTTTTATTTACTTACCGGCGATGAAATAACTTTTAATATTGATGGAAACGTAACTTGACTTTATTTCCGATACCTCCAAATTTTCTGAATTTCTTTCCTCAATTACAATAGGTCGAAAATTTATGATAAATTTGATGAATTTTTGAAAATCGTCATTCCCATGTAATCCATTGGGAAATGGAGGGTTCGGGGCAAATCAGAAATCAGGATATCGTTTCAGTATAAAAGATTCAGCAAAAAATATTTTTAAATAGAAAATTGAATTGTCTAACTTTTTTGAGCACTAAGTGTTTAGTTTATTTGATGAATATTAAAGTTACAGCGCTTCAAAGTCATTTTTGAAAATAATTTTTCGCCTCTTGTGTTATTTCAATGGGAGAGGTTTTTTGAAAAACAATTTTGACTTTAAAGCCCTATAACTTTGTTGAACCTGAAGAAACAGATCAATTTTTTGTCAAATAAAGTTAGCAAATTCAATTGCCTGCCTAACTCGTATTTTTTGCAAGGACTCGGATAGATGGATATTCTGTCATATGACTTGCGGCAAACCTACCATTTCCCATTGGTTAACATGGGATTGTCGATTTTCAAAAAATCATCAAATTTATCATCAATTTTTGACCTATTGTAATTGAGGAATAGTATAAGCATTTTCATCGCAGGTTAAGTAAATAAAAATTCAAAGGTCAAGAGGCTTTAACACGTAGTTCAATGGGGGGGGGAAAGGTTCCCAAACTTATGGAGGGGAGTGTACCTTCATGTTTTTTAACTAAAATTGCCGAATTACATAATTTTTGTCGAAACTGATTTAGAAATCGGCCGATGACTACTCATCGGCCGACGCCCGGCGCATATGTGTCCTAGGCATTAGAGAGAGACCGAGGTGGGAGATATCCCCCTCCCCTCAACACCAAACTTGTTCTCACTACGTTTTCGAAAATTGGCTGAAAGGCCTCCTCACACATTATTAAGGAAAACATATCTACACATTTTGCGCATTTAACCATTTGATAACATATTGTGGATCTTATCTTAATTTGTTAATGTGAATTCGCACCTTCATTTGCATGGAAGACTTTGATAAAATCCCTTTTTGATGATTTTTGTTAGAAAACTGATGTTTGGCTAAGCTTCGAAATTCCAAATTGAACAGTCTACTAAGAATACCATGTTGTAAATATTGTTTTCTTTATAATATGTCGAGCTAGGACTGCTCAAACAAATTCGCTTTTTGTAGTTACATGTACAAGTATTTAATTTCAATAGATGATAAACTTCTCAATATAAGAAATTACCCTCATAAGACATTGTTGCAAGGTGTGTTGCAATGAATGTGGCACCCCGCATTCCCGGGCCCGCATAATGTATTCTCGAAGAAAGTCATCATGATAAACCATGACATCTCATTTCTTCTCAGCCCTGTGTTTCAGGTGAAACAGAAAGATGCCATGAGTATCAGAATGGAAGAAAGCATATATTTGCATTGATGGTATAGATAGTTATTTTATATAGTGTTTTAGTTGTACATGGAAACCGATTCTAACCAGGAAGGATATTGCAACTTTTTTCAAGATCCTAAAGTTGCAATTCTCGTTATTGTGTTTCATTGTAAAGACGCACCTATGAAACTGTGTCTCTGATACAAAGGCGCAGTTCTACATTAATTAAGATACACATTTTTTAAACTTGTACGTGAACATGTAGAATTATGGACCTGGTAGATTTTTTCTCCCTTTTGTACTGTTAATACTTGGCCGGTTGAGTATATAAAGGTATGCATGTTCCAGCTTTTGGTAAGTGGGGGGTCAAACCTCCCCCCCCGTAATTACAAGGGTGTTATAAACGAGACACCAGGATGATAAAGTAAGTGTACAATATATTTCCGCGTTTGCGCGGAAGAAAATTAGGGTCCAAATCTTGAGAAAGAGTCAGAGGAATGCGAGGCGAATTCTGGAAACTCGGGTTCGGGAAAGCGGGGTTCACTACATTCATAATTTATCCGACAGTCGCTTTGATAATGTTTCTTTATCTCGTCTGCTACTCGATAAAGAAGAATTAACAAAGCTCATCAAGAATGGAATATTTTTAACAACAATATATAACGGACACACTATGTTAAAATTAAATGTTATATCTAATGTGCCAATTCAATGATTTAGCATATCGAAAATATTTTCAACCTAAGTGACCACATCGTGACATCTACGGAAAGCTATAGGGGACCTGCGCATAATTCAAAATCGAATGGAGTTTTAACATGGGAGTGATATCACACATCGCGGCCCAGTCAGATAGATTTCATCGCGCACTGAATGAATTACGGGGGCCGCATTGTGCAAAGTTAATTAAAATAAAGTGCGCAGAAATTCCGGCATTCAGTGCGCGATGAAAAAATGATTATCTGTGAATAAATAACGAATAAAAATGCGTGGCACCACGAATTTGATTTTTTTCGAAAGACTGCGGAGTGAACCAGCGAAATGACAATTTTTACGGA